TGCTCCTCTGATGCTGCTTGGCCTGTTGTGTTCATCCAGCTCTACACCTTGTTATCTCAGCATTGGGAAAGTCACTGGTCAGAAATCTACACTTCCACCTGCTTTTACACAGACAGTGTTATTAAAGTCTCCTGAACATAGAGATTCACGGCACAATTTGACAGAGAGGAAGAGGCAGTGGTGATGGTGACAGAACTGAACGGAGGAGACCCTCAGCTTTGTTGTGGTAACAGGGAACAGAAAATCTCTGAAGAAATATTGGTTTGATGACACAACTGAATCTTGATACCCTCACACTCTGCACCAGGGAGAGTGAGAGAGAGGGCGGAAAGTGGCAGGAGAGGCATAATGGAGCTGAGAGAGTGGTGAGACTCTCAGGAGAGCTGGAAGAATGATGAGAACACCAGGGGAATGATGAAAGCTCCAGAAAAGCTGGGAGAATGATGAGAGCTCAAGGAAAGGTGGGAGAGCAGTGAGGGTCCGAGCAGAGAAAGAAATAGAGGCTAGGGAACTCAGGGAAATAAATTTGATGTTTTGAAAACAGTTCATATGAGAGGAGGTGCTGCAGGCCTTAGAAAATATAAAAGTGGATAAATATCCGGGAGCTGATCTAGTGTAACCCAGGACTTTGTGGGAAGTTAGGGAGAAGATTACAAGGCTACTTGCAGAAATATTCATATCATTTATAATCACTGGTGAGGTGCTGGATGACTGGTGCGTGGCTAATGTGTCCTTGTTTAAGAAGGGATGTAAGGAGAAGCCTGGGAACTATAGACCTGTGAGTATGACTTTGGTGGTGGGTATGTTGCTGGAAGTGATTCTGAAAAATAGGATTTATATGCATTTGGAGGGGCTTGGAATGATTAAGGATAATCAGCATGGTTTTTTTTTGTGAGGGAAATTGTATCTCACAAACTTGCTTGAGTTTTTTGTTGAAGTAGCCAAGAAGATTGATGAGGACAGAGCAATAGACATTGTTTACTTGGACTTCAGTAAAGCCTTTGACAAGGTTCCACATGGTAGACTGATTAGTAAAGTTAGATTGCATGGGATTCAGGGTGAGCTTGCCAATTGGATACAAAATTGACTTAACAGCAGGAAACAGAGAGTTGTTTTTCAGACTGGAGGCCTGTGACCAGCGGTGTCCACTTTTGTTTTGTCATTTATATAAATGGTTTTGATCAGAATATAGATGGCGTGGTTAGTAAATTTGTGAATGACACCAAGATTGGTGGTAGAGTGTACAGGGAAGAATGTTACCTATGATTAAAAGAAAAATTGATCAGTTGGGTGAATGGACTGAAGAGTGGCAGATGGAGTTTAATTTGGACAAATGTGAGGTAATGCATTTTGGTAAAATAAACAAGAGCATGACTTATACAATTAAAAGTGGGGCTTTGGGTAGTGTTGTAGAACAGAACAACCTAGCAGTTCAGGTACAGAATTCTTTGAAGTTTGCAACACATTTAGATAGTGTGGTCAAGAAGGCATTTAGCACGCTTGCCTTCATTACTCAGACCTTTGAGTGTAGGCGTTGAGATATTATGCTGAGGTTGTACAGGACATTGGTGAGGCCTCTTCTGGAGTACTGTGTCCAGTTCTGGCTGCCCTTTTGTAGGAAGGATATTATTAAGCATGAGAGGGTTCAGAAGAGATTTACCAGGATGTTGCTGGGAATCAAGGGTTT